GCCCCCTACTCCCCACATGCTTTTCTGGTCCTCCACAGACTTGAGCGGCTGAAACTGTAATTAACAAGCTTTGAAGCACTGTAGAGCTGGCTCTAAGGAGCTAAATAATTACACTCCCTTCCCTCTCCCGCTGCTCGGTTTGAAGCAGCAAAGTGGAGCACTGGGAAGAGGAGGAGTGGATCAGGTGGGGGGTGAGAATGTAATTAACTTCTGAAATGCTCCTGTCCCTGCTGCAGACAGCTGAGGATGATGATGGGCTGCGGCTCAGGAGGTTGCATAGGTCCAAACACGGTGTGGTGACCAGTGTTCCCATGGTCTGTGCCCAGACCTGGTGGCTCTGGGAGCTGCACATCATTTCCACACTATGATGAAGGGGGACACCACTGGGGCAAGGCACTGAGTATCCCAAGGTCTTCCAGGGTTCAGCACTGATGATTTTTAAGCCATTTCAGTGGAAGTTTGTTGAAAGTGCCATTCCTGTGACCTGGGCGATTGAGTTAGCTGATGCTGAAATGGGAGTAAAGGTGGGAAAATGGCAACTGCAGTGGCAAATGTCAGCCACCTCTTCTGTCCTGGTTCAGCTCTTCCTCATCTCATCATGCACCTCTGCCCAGCCTCTTGCTGCCTCCTTGCCCAGCATTTCCTAAACTGTTTCAGCCCGTCTGCAGCTGCCACCCCTGCAGCTCCATGTGAGGTCATGCAGAGGATGCTGCCTGACGCTGCCTGGCACAGTGGGGCAGGTCCACTTTTGAGCTTCAAGGAGAAGGAGTGGTTCATCATATGAAACTTTACTTATTTTACTGGATCAGGACAGACAAGAGTGGGGTTCACATACCCAGACATACAACACAAAAAACCACCATCAGTTGCAGCTTCTAAATGAAAACAGTGTGACTGTCAGGAAACAGCCTGTGAAGGTCAGAGGCGACTTCCCTGCGCACAGGTAACCAGAAGCAGTTACAATCCACCTCATTCCACAAGAGCAGATAAAAACACAGTTTGACAAGATTGCTAAATTAGGCTCTTAAAAAGAAAGAGATCATTGCCTGCACACATTTAATTGATCTACTTGCATGGCTACATCCTTCAGTCACATCCTCATGTTGTTCCACAGTAGAAGAAAATCACACATTGTTTCCACCATGGCTGGGACTCCTTAGTGACTTTCCTTAGTGACACTCTTGGACAGTGTGGCTCCTTCCAGCTTTGAATTCTCCAAGGAATGCCAGGTGAAGCTGCAGCTCTCAGAGGCCATTTCACATCACAGGGTTGGCATCTTGCATAGCTGCTGAGGCTTATTTTAGATTCTTTCATGCTGTGTCCTTCAGCACTCAGAAACACACTTTGGAAAGATGCAAAGGGATATAATCATTTCAGGGTCCTTTCTGATGGCTACCGGCCCCAGTGGCAGAGCCCCTGAGGCCCCCTTGGTGCAGGGAGAATAGAGGAGGCTGAAGATCCCTCCAGTGAGCAGCACCAGGTTTGCAGAAAGGCTGCACATTCTGGGGTGCCACCTGCTGGCACCTGGACCCCAAACTCACAGGTTACATCTCAGGGAAATTTCCCTCTTCCTTCCCTTTTTTTTTTTTTTTTCACCATGGAGAGGTTGTGGTGCAAGAATGAGGGTCATCACCAGACTCCTGCAGTCTGGAAGGCTGCAGGAGACCCAGACTGTCCCCAAGCAGTTGAGGCTGCGGCAAAGTCCCCTGTCCTTGAAACCCACACGGGTCTCCCCTCGGGCTCCAGTGGGCCTGCTGGTTCTTGGTGGGTTTGTGTAGCCATTTCGCTTCCCTGCACAGGGAAGGCAGGCACAGGGAGGGAAAGGGCACCATGGGGCTGCCAGGCAGCGTTGATGGGCATGGAGAATGGATGCTCCTTCCCCTGCACTGGCACTGGCACTTTTGGTGGGTCTGGGCAAATGGCAGTGGGAAGATGGTACTGTGGCTGCCAGAACACTCCAGCCCCCTCCTGGGCCCTTCCCCAGGGGAGCCCACTGTCTGGAGTTGAGTGCAGAGGGTGCCGGTGCCTCAGGCACAGCCTTGGCAGCCTGGACTGCACCACGCTCTCCTCGCAAAAGGCACTTGGAGCACACAGTGCCAGGTCGGCAGGAGAGAGGGTTGTTCTCAACCCCACTGCTTCCCGCAGCCTTGGGCCCGGATCTGAGATGCAGGAAGGTGCCTCCTGCCACCCTGAACAGCTCAGAAAGCTGTAGGCTGTGGAGGAAGAGGGGGTGTTCTCCGGGGACAGAGTGCAGCCCCCCCAGCTGAGCTAAGCACAGCCAGGAATGTTGCTCAGTACCCACAGTGGGATGCCACCGCCTCGCCTCCTGGCCACGTGTGAGCACCAGAACCTCAGGCTCTGTGCCAAGCTCCTCTCTCACAAGTGATTCTCTAGGGCACCAAAGATGGGATATTCAGGGGAGGAGGGGAGCAGTTTGGGCTGGATTCAGGTGCATGGCAGGTAGAGCTTATCACTCCTCCAGAGAAACAGCTCTCAGAAGCAAAGGCAGCAGCAGGACTCAACTGGCTTGAGGGAGAGAGGAGAGCGAGGGCGAAAATGCCAGTGCCTGAGGATCAGACCTGAATCACCCTGCATGGAACGCAGGCACCTCCGCCTGCTTCTCTGCAGCAGCAAAGTGCCCTGCAGCACGGCCAGCCTGCAGCTGTGCCCCTCCCTCCCTGGGTGGAGGCAGTTGTTTCCCCGGAGCTGCGGTGGCCCCTGGGCAGTGTGGGAGAGCATAAGTCCCTGGGGACAGGTGACCTGCACAGGACGCCTCAGAGGCAGATGCTGACTTTCTGCCATGACGCCACCAAAAAAAGTCCTGACTTCCTCTCAAGGGTAAATCTGGCAAGAATGAGTTCTTGCAAGTGTAAAATACTCTTGTAGTCAGTGTTAAATCCAAACGCTCTAATCTTTCTTCTGCTGTTTCTACACATTAAAAAATTTTGTTTCCTGGAAATGCTCTGAGGAAAGGTACCTGACCTGAGGTCTTTCCCCAGACATGTATTTTACACCATTCCAGTAGCTCCCCGGCAGGGGCTGATGGGGCAGGGCCTACTGGCCACTGCCCACTGCACCACCCCAGCAAGGAGCAGGGCAGCCCCAACTGTGGGCATTGGGCACCTACCCAGGCACAGGCCAAGGCCATGGCAGGATGGCAGACTGAAGAGAGGTGTCAGGGTCAGGAATTTGGGGAATTGGGGCAGACACAGCCCCAGATTCAGGCAGTCCATGAGTATCCTCAGGGTTCTGACAGTTGCATAACATTCTGCAGTTCAAGCCCATCCTTTAATCATCTTTTAACAGCATATGCTTTACCACAATTATTTATATATTTGTGAAGGTTTTGTAACATCCAGAGGCATTGTTTTGAGAGGTGTCATTAGATCAGAGCAAAGCACCTGTGGCCAGGACCAGGTATCACAGCTATGCCAGGTTCCACTTGCTCTCTGCTAGAAGATAAAATCTTTCTTCTTGTTGGTCAGTTTTGCTCACATCCTTCTGGACCCAGAGCCTAGAGGATCAGAGAAACACATCATTTCACCTTTCAAGAGGCACTTTTTCAGCCCACACATACATGCCTGTGCTAGTGTTCCCAGAGGCAAATCACAGGCTGTAATTACATGCCAGTAATGTTGAAAATAGAGTACTAGCACTGCATTAAGGAAACCCCCAAAGTCTGAAATACCTACAAAAAATTAGATAGAAAATGAAAGCTCTGGGCTCAGCAGACACAGCAGTGCACACGTGTTTGTCTGCACAGGCGGCCCCACCAGCCTCAGGGGAGCAGGGCAGAACGGAGGAGCAGCTCTGCAGCTGCAGGGAGATCAGGAACACTGCTATCCCAGAAGCAGTGGACTTAGATGCAGAATGGAGCAGCTCCCTGCATCCTCTCACTTGTCCCTACTCACCTCTCCTGCTCCTTGGAGGCTCTTATTGACTCTGCTGCTACCTGCTGCAGCTCATTCCACCCGTTATGCTCACAAAAGCAGAAGCACACCCTGCACACCCCGATATGACACCTTTGTCAATATTAAATAAGGTATCTGTTTACCTGGGTGAGGGGCCCTTTCTGATGCAGGCACATATTTACATGGAGGCCCCAGAGCTGACTAGAGAAGGTGCGTGTGGAGGGGCAGCACCTGGAGGGAGGCAGTGCATCCCTCCTGTGCAGGCATATGCCAGCAAGGGCAGTCACCACGGATTGTAAAGGTGGTTCCCAGCATCAGAGTGGTGTGTACTGGAGAGACTAGGACCTCTGGGAGCTCACTGGTGAGACAGTGGGGTTGGACCCACGTCTGCACAGGGCCACTGGGGACAGCGGGGCACTCACAACTGCTGGATACAGAGGTCCAGCCAGGACCTGCATGGTATGTGTACGCCTGTATGTACCTGCATGTGCATGCATGTGTCCATATGATGCTCCCAGGGCTGGAGCACCTCTGCTATGAAGACAGGCTGAGAGAGCTGGGGGTGTTCAGCCTGGAGAAGGCCCTGGGGAATGAGAGTCCCTTCCAGTGCCTAAAGGGCCTCCAAAAATGCCGGAGAGGGAATTTGGACAAGGGCCTGGAGTGACAGGACGGGGGGAATGGCTTCCCACTGCCAGAGGGCAGGATTCCATGGGATGCTGTGAAGAAATCCTTCCCTGTGAGGCCCTGGCACAAGTTGCCCGGACACTCTCCCCACCCGCCCCTCAGGACACTCTCCCCACAGCCACGTTCCCCCTCCCCACGCTGCCCTCAGGACACTCTCCCCACCCGCCCCTCAGGACACTCTCCCCACAGCCACGTTCCCCCTCCCCACGCTGCCCTCAGGACACTCTCCCCACCCGCCCCTCAGGACACTCTCCCCACAGCCACGTTCCCCCTCCCCGGGCGGGGCCGGAGCGCGGGGGCGGAGCCGAGGGCGGTGTGGGCGGAGCCGAGGGGCGGTGTGGGCGGGGCCGGAGCGCGGGGGCGGGGCCGGACGCACGTGGCCGGGGGCGGGGCCAGTGCGCGGCCACTTCCTGCTCGGCGGGTCCCGGCGCGGTCGGAATCGAGGGAATTAGTCCCGGGTGAGCCCCGGCATCGGCACCGAGCGAGGGAGTCCCGGGAGTCCTGGGACCGGGTGAGTCCCAGTACCGACTGCCGACACTGACACTGAGTCTCGGCAGTCAGTGAGTGCCGGTACCCGGCAGTGAGTGCCGTCACGCTGGCCCCGCCGCCGCCCGGCCCCCGGTTCGTCCCGGTGGGCCCCGCTCCCCGAGGCCCCGGCCCCGAGGCCTCCCTTCGCTCAGCGGCCTCAGCTTAGGCACTCCCCGGCGGTCCGGGCCGGCCAGGCGGCCTCTGCCCGGCCGTGGTGTCCGTGTATCTCCGGCGGCGGCGTGTCCCGGTGACTCCGGCGTGTCGCGGTCCTTCCGTAAGCCCCGGAAACGAGCCCCAGCTCCGAGCAGCCCCGGAGCTCCGAAGGAGGGGATCGGTACACCCGTGTGCCCGTATCGGCGCCCCGCATCCTCCCTCGGCCGCTCCCGCTGCTCGAGAGTGCATCCCCTTCCCCCGGAATCTCCATGCCCTTTCCTGGGGATCCCCGTTCCTGATTTGTCCCGCCCACCAGACCAAATCCAGCCTTAGGATCCAAGGAAAAGCAAATCTCTGTTACTCTTAAACACAATTGGGAAAATGGCCGAAGGGAGAAAAATATTCTGAAAGGGTCGAAATAAACTTGGAATGTTTTGCTATTTTCCAGCGTCCAAGTGTGGAAGAGATATTCCTGTGGTCTCTTGAAGGCATAGCTGTCACTAGAAAAACCCTGACCTCTTTTCCAAAGTATTTCCTCTCTGTTGGTGCTGCATTTAAAGAAAGTCCAGAACAGTCACGTCTCCTCAAACACGCAGTAAATCAGCACAAGGATTGGGGGTTGTTTCTCATGGTTTAGCTAAAAGTCGCCATTAGATCATGAAAAATGAGGGCAGGGGCCCCAACCTACCTCCTGATACTTTTCAGTGTTCCACTGCGAGGGCTCTTCTACTCCACAGGAGGCAGACGCAGGTGACTGATGGCCACACATCTCACCTGTGGCACTGGAGGAGGGTTGTGCCTTCCTCATCTGCTCTGAGAGCAGTGTAGTTGCCCCTGTGAGGCACAGTCAGGTCCAAGTCATGTGTGCAGAAACAGAACAGGGGAAGGAAAGCAGTTTCCTGATAATAAATGTACTTTTGGGTAGTTTTTTTAATTACATTTAGGCTTGACATTTTCATAACTTCCTAGGATAGCAGGAAGAGCAAAGATGTGATTTTTGTTTCAGTCATGTATTTCATAACAAGAATTTTCTCATGAAATTCAGGCAGTGGAGGGCACAAAAGCAGTTACAGCAGCTTAAATGAAAGATTTCTTTCACCTGCCCTGGAACATTTAAGATCTTTATCGGTTTCATGTTGGCTTTGCCCCTGCAGTGTCTCAGAAGCCTGGAGCAACAAGCAGTTTGTGTATTACAAATACGACTAAATTTAAAGCTGGCAAAAGGTTTGGCTCCTGCCGTTCTGGTACCTGACCCTGTGTTCTGATAGATATTGTGGTAATTTCCTTGGAAGAGCTCTCTATCCCGTTTTGTTGTTGTTCCTATCTGTAACAACCTGACAATATGGATGTGTTTTGTCTTTGCCTCCCAAAGCAGAAGAGAACACACTTGCTGTTCTATTTGCAACACGACCTTTGTCATAAAGTGTTAGGCTTGACTGCAGAGATCAAGCAGAGAATAAGATAAATAAGGAAATACTTGGAATTCACTGATGATCTGTGATGGGAATGGTACACTTGTCTGAAAAGTCACATGCAAAGGAAGAAAAAGTAATCTTTGTATTTTGGTTTTTGTTTGAGGATTTTAAGATATATCAATATTTGAAGTTAAGCACAACGAGCTCTGAAAGGTGTTAGGAGTTGAGGAAGTAAGAGCAGTAGAAGTGCTATAATTAAGCAGAGGAAACGAGGGCTTGGCAGGCAGAGTTGAGGTATGTGTCCAAGAATGACATGGGTAGGGCTGCCCTGGGCATCCTACTGCAAAGCCTTTCTGCAGGTATAGGACACCTTAGTGTCCAAACTGCCTTTGGGATTTTGACTGAGGGAGTCACTGCCTGCACGCAGCTGGAAAACTGCCGTGGATGTTCTCATTAGCTTGTTTGTGGTGTTCCTCCCTGCCTCGAGGCTCCAGCGGCACCTCCCTTCTAACTGCCTGGCGCTGCTGCCAGCTCCTGCTGCTGCATCAAGTGCGGGATGTCAGGTTTTTAATGGGCCAGGCAAAAAGTGCTGGCAAGCAGGGTTTGAAAAAGATTCCTGCCATTGCCAACTGCAGCCATTGGCAGTTTTGTTTGGAAACGGTTAAAAGGAATTCAGATGTCTCAGAGTTTTTAATTTTAACATCATTAGCCTTTTACCTGAACTGGCCTTACTTAGGGGCTACCACTAAGGCAATCAAGTGCTTTTGAGGAAGGTTGTGCTCTGGATTCAGGTAGGAGTGGAATTCCTCTTGATGAAGGCATTGGGTTCTCCAGTGGCCAGAGGTTTGAAGTTTGGGGGTTTTTTTTAGAAGTAAGGCAGTTTAGTTCCAATGTAGGATGTGTCAGTATGTTATTGCTCTCCCTGCAGCCTGTCTTACCTATCAAATCAGGTAAGACTGTGCAGGACTAATATTTTTATGTGACTTTCACACTCAGACATGAGGGGTGTCTTTGTGATAGTCCAGCTGGTAGGGAGATAGATGTGGCACTTAGGGACATGGTTCAGTTGTGATCGTGGCTGGGGGCACGGTGGGACTCAGTGACCTCAGGTCTTTTCCAGTCAAAACATTTCTGTGGAAAGAGATGATTGCCCAGTCTTTGACTGGCAAAAGGAAATCTGAGTTCCAGTCAGGTCTTTCTCTGAATATCAGTATGAAGCCAGTAAGACTGCTTCACCCTGGCAATCTGCAAAACAGCACAACTTTGTCTGTTGAGCTCCTCTTCCCTTTTCTAGAGGCTGTGTTTGTGTCTGATGCCAGATCCCTGGCATGGCTGTTTCTCGCTCCTAAAGAGTGGAGAATGGCTGCAGCCTGAGTGTGAGGATGATGAGCAGTGGAACTGAGTGCCTTCATACCGTGTTGCAGTCCTGACACTGGATGTTTCTTGTTTCCCAGTGGCCTGCTGTACATGTTAAGCAAGAGGAAGAGCCCTTCATCATCCTAGTCACGTGTGGACCTGAGAGGAGGAGAAGGAGAACCCATTGTTTGACCTGAGCTTCTGGGGAGGATAGATCAAAGTGAGTGTAGTGCTTGCTGCCTGTCCATGCTGTTGTCCGTGCTGTGAAGTGTCTGTGAGTCATCTCCTCAGGTGCTTGAGAGCCATCAGTCTTGTCCAGCTGCATTCTTTCAGCAATGGTCCCCACTTACTGACTGTATCTACTGAGTGGCAGGGGGAAGGAAGCAGTGCTTGTATTCAGTTGGCTTTTTGAGTATCGCTAAAAATAGTTTATTTCTTATATTACTGTAAGTCTCTTTTCTCATACCCCATAACCGCAGGTTAATCTTATGAATATGCTTGATTGGAGCTTTATTCTCGCCCCATAGATGACCTTTTTGAAAAGGTGACCCCATGTGAAGCTGAGAAACATATTGAAGTTTTGGGGCTTCATTTAGTTTGTCAGATGCTTTTCTGTCTATTTTTTTACTAACTACAACCGTTCAGGTGACCAGTGTGTAACTTTTTCTTGCTATCTACAGCCTCCAAAGCTAAATAGTTCTATATAGTTGGTTTATTGCATCTATTATTACTTCATTCTTTCTTATTTTCTTTAGCATATTAGGTGCTGTATTTACCTAGGAACCTGGGTGAGAAAGGCAGAGCCTTCACAAAGAGAGCCTTTGGATTCATCACAGAAATTACTTCTGTACAAAGCTCACAAATCTGAATTTTTGTACATGCATATGAGTATGTGTATTTAAACATTGCCGTGGAACTTTCTTCCACAGCCAAAAAGCTGAGATCTGACGGTTTTCATGTCTGAAAAAAGCTTGTTGTTTTCCCTGGGAGTAACTGTAACACAGAAATACAGATAGACTTTTCAGAGGAAGTATTTCCTCTGCTTTGTGCATCGTGTGGTCATGTACATGCAGTGAGATATTCTCAGAATGAGGCAGAGTGGCTTTAGGATGTCTTCCTTGACAGAAAGCAGATAATGAGCTCAGTATACGGTCGCCCTTGGGCCAGGATTACAGGATAGCTGAGGTAGGAAGGAGCCTCTGGCCTTTTCAGCCCTCTCACTCAAAGCAGGGTGACATGGACCAGTTTTCTCAGGGCTGTGTTCTGCTGAAGTCTGAACATTCTTGAGGATGGAGGCTCCACAGCTTTTCTGGGCAACATAGGTTTAAGTGAAATTCCCTGTATTTTCTTATTTTGTGTCTGTTGCCTCTTATCTTGTTGCCAGACGCTACCTGGGAGAGCCTGACTCTGTCATGTTTGCTCGCCCTGCCCCAGGTGTTTGTGAGCATGGGTAGATCCCCCTGAGCCTCCTCTTCCTGAGGAGGAGTGATCCCAAGCCTCTCGGCCTGGCCTTTCACAACAGGTGCTCCAATCCCTTAATCATCTTAGTGGCCCTTTGCCACACTCACTCCAGTACGTCTGTCTGTGTTGGACACAGCACTCCAGGTGTGGCCCTGTGAGCGGGGGCATGACCTCCCTCACGTGGGAGCACAGAGCACATTAAATGCCACATGCAGAAGCCAGAGTAGTTGAGCTGAAGTAGTAATAACAGTTAAGCAAATGCACCCTAAAGTAGCTTTTACTGTTATGGATTTGAGCACAGATTACTGTTAAATCTGCTCAGTATGCTGTGCTGTGTACAGAGCTGTATCACTCACCTGAGCAATTCCAGGTAGACCAGAGGTATCATTTGAAGGACTGTTTTGGACATATGACCATTCTAACAGAACCTTTTGTCTTTCTGTAGACACAGACTCTTTAATTTCCAGAATGTTCACTGGATATGACGATGCTGAGGATTCTGAAGTGTACGAAGATGAACTTTATCACGAGGAGTCATCCAGTGAGCAGAGTGTTGACAGTGAGGTGGAGTTTCACCTCTATAGCCAGATCCACTATTCCCAGAATCTTGGAGAAATCAGCATGCTGGAAGTTGACAAAGAAGCTGATGTTGCAGAAGTCATGGGTCATAGTTCAGTTCTAACTGAGAAACAGGATGAAGACAAGAAACCTGTTTCTTGTCAGGATGAAGAATTCACTAATGGTGGTGCTCAGCTTTCAGACGATTCTGAGATCATTGTGCTATCTGACACACAAGATGAAGTCAGCATCTACAAAAGCAAAGCAAAGAGGTCAAGAAGCCTTTCAGCTCAAGAAAAAACACACATCCACCCTCTATCTTCCACACCAAGTCACGCCAAAGCTGCTGGATATAATGCCCCTTGTCCCCCTGGATCAGGTGCGGGCATGCCAAGGCAGAGGAAAAGCACTATTGGGAGGCCTAGCCCAATCCATTCTGCTGCAGCTGAGGCCATCCACGAGGTGTTGGTAATAGACGACAGCTCAGAGGAGATGAGCGTGACCTCTGATAGTGATAACGTCGAGAGCTGGATGCTTTTGGGAGCGGGTGCAGATGACAGGGATGGAGACATCATTTTGAACCTTGAAGGCTGCGCCACTCCTGTCAGCAAAGGTTAGTGCTTTTTTCTGGCTTGTTTGTTCTTCTGTGTGAGGGACGATTTCTCTGCAACGATCCTGATGTCAGTGTTTGAAAAGAAAGATAAACAGAAAGCGAACTGGAGTGTGTGATGATGGAGGCAATGCTGTGGTGAATGAAATGGCCATTATTTGTACCATTTCAATACCTTTATTTCAACAGCAAGACATATGAAAGGAAAGACAGCATTTTTGCTGGTAGAAATTTAGAAGTAATATCAGAGTGGCTTGCATTGTGAACTTTACAACTTTCCAGTGTATTTTGTATTTCTGAGAGTGTATAAAAAGTTCATGTGTGCTAGACCAGTGACCTGGCAGCTTGGGACAGGGATGAGTGGTAACAGGAGGGGGCAAGGGACAGAGGGAGATCTTAGTGTTTCCCTTGCTTGAATTCAGCAAGTAACTGCTCCTTCAGGAGTCCGGTAGTTTGGGCTATTGATCTGAAATTGACTGTAATTTCTTATGTGGATTCTAAGCTAAATAATTCAGAGAGATCCCTCCCCAGCCACTAGACTAACCTCTAGCATTTTGGTATTTTACAAAATTCTCTTCCACATTACGGTGAAGAAAGTCAGTGAACGTGTCAGTGTGACAGAGCGTAGGTGTTGTGTTTGTAACAACCACGCAGTGTGATACCCACCACGTCACTAGCAACTGAAAACTCTGTTAGATGATCAACAAGCATTTTCTCTTGCCCACCAGTTTCCTGGAGGACAAAAATCATTCCCAGGAACAGCATCCCCTGCCAGGCTGAGGGAAACCATGACCCGATCAGAGGCTGGAGAAAGAAATGAAACTTTATTCATATAGTAAAGTAGACCCTACTTTAAAAAAAGTTTTAAAAAAAAGCACTCTGTAATTTTACTTAGTGCACATGTAAATGAGGCAGTTTTGAGTGAAATGGAGTGTTTTGTAGTGCTGACACCAGTGGAGTTTTTTGTTGGGGTGTCTGTAATCAGTGCTGCTGTTCATGTACTGCTGCTGAGCTGTTTGAGAGGAGAGAGTTGAGGAATGGTCTTTGCCTTCTTTTCAGGTGAAACACGTGTTTCAGGCTTGTAAATGTGTGATAACCTTCTGGTAGAGCTGTGTAAGTTTTTGCATAGCTAAGCACACTGTTGTGCATTTGATCACCATACCAGAACCCCTGGCAGCCACACTGTGTTTGAAATTTATGTAGTTTTTTCCTTTCTATAAATCTTTAAAATGCAGTTTCTAAGAATTTCCTTGTGGGTGTGCCAGTGCTCAGTGAGGGGAGGCTGTTAAAAACAGCACAGGAGGTTAGTACCAGGGGATAGTTTTGCTGACTTACGTCACATTTTTATGGCAAACCTTGTAATGTTTCTGATTTGTAGATCTATTCATGGATGTTGGCAGTAAGCAAGCCACATCCAGAGCAGTCAACAGGAGCAAGATTTCCTTGTGCTGTATGAATGGGTCACACTATCCAGAACCTATTGAGGGTAGGTAATGTAAACAGTTTTTAAGGTGTTTGAGCGGGAAGACAAAGGCAGCCACACGAGGCTCATAAATGCGCCCACTCTTTTGCTATTCTGGTTGGCCAGGCTTTCCAAACCCCTCCAGATTCTGGTGGATGGGATTTAGGTAGCTCCCGTGTGTGGAAGTTTGGTTCAGCTGCTCCTTTTCTAATACATACAGTGATGAAAGTGCAAAGACATAGGCTTAGAATAAATTGTGTTTTATATATGTGTGTGTAATGAAAAGCCAGAAGAGCGTCAAAATAGCTGTAGAGAAGAAAAGTCATAAATCTTCCTAATGTACAGTAACTCTAATTTATTTATTGAGGTTGTGTAGCACTGTATCTCCCATTCTGTAGACTATAATATATAATATAGACTGTATTATATAACTGGTCTTGTGGAAGATGTCCCTGCCAATGGCAGGGGCTTGGAATGAGATGATCTTTAAGGTCCCTTCCCATTCAGGGATTCTGTGATTCTATAAATGACTGCTTTGCTGAAACATGAACATAAAAATTTAATGTTCAAAGAAATGCATTTTAAAAATATAATAGTGTGTTGGCAAACTATCCTCTCAAAGATATTCTCTGCTAATTCATTTAAATTGTTTTGAGACATGCACAGTTCTATTTTCAGGGTTTCTAAAGAATGAGATCAGGTGTTTTGGTGATGACGTATTATGTAAATTATTATTTTAGAGCCTGTGGTATCAGTAGGAGTGGTTGTTATGTATAGGGACTGGTGAGTCCTTGCCTTTCTTTTCTCCCCCAGAACTACCTGTGACTGTACACGGGTCAGACCTCCCATAACAGTGTCATGGTGTGTCCAGTGTCCAGTTTACCTCCTGTGAAAAAGGGAACCAAAATGTGGATGGTTCTCTGACCATCTCTGCTGAAAGCAGCTGGTTGGGTCAGTTTTTTGATGAGCCTGTTTTCGTGTCTGAGTTCCTGAATAGAGATGCTGAGCTTCCACTGGAGTCCAAAACAACTCTTCAAGGAAAGGAATTGAGTATACCTCCTTATTCTGTTCACTCCTCTACTCCTCATTTGCCTGACCTGCTCTTGTCTGGCAGCCTTATTATTTTTAATATTCACTGTAAACAGATAATACTGTATTGATGTCTCCAGTACACAGAGAGTCTTCTCCTCATGCAGCTTTCCAGCTCCAGTCCCCAGTGTCTACTGTGATGGAAGATGTCCCCTTGCCACGGGACACGAGCTCTAGGCCCTTATGGTAGATCCAAGTTCACTCTTTGGTCCTCAGCTGCCATCCTGAGGATTACAGCCAGTCCATGAGCAACGGTGTTCCATACAGAGATGTGAGCCTTCCTTCACCTCTCTGACCTGCTTCCCTGTGGCTCTAGGTGCCTTCCACATGTTATTTTTGCTTGTCTAATACCACACTAATCCACAGAGTATTTGTGCCTGTATTTCTGTGAAATATGTGGTTTCTCTGCCAAAAGGCAGGTACCAGTTTGTTTCCACCTGGCTGCCGGTGGGCTTCCTGGCGTGGCTTTCAGAGAAGTGTGGGATGACGCTGCTGGTTGCTCTGGTTAAAGGGTCCTGTCAGTTTCACATACTGTTTCAAAAATGGGTAATTCAGCAGATCTAGATCTTTGGTGTTATTTACCCCTCTTTTTTTTAAGGTTAAGTTCAGAAGAAAGTGTGCAAAGGAAATCATGACAAACTGTGCTGTGCACTAAATGCAGATAATTAATTTTCAGTGTCAGAGAGTTTCCAGGTCTTTGGAGGAGGGCTCTTCCCCCCACCCCTTCCTTCCGCTTTGCAGTAAGAGTTTATAAGATAAGAATGTTAATCTCCTGTAGCTGGAAGTCTTTCATCCATTTCATCATTAAAACCTTCCTTTTAACATATTTCTTCCCCCACAAATAGCTGCAATCCTAATCTCTACTTTTTTTTTTTTTTTTTTTTTTTTTTGGAAAGACAGTTTTCAGAGCTGCAACATTGATGTCCAGCTACTAAGGTGCACAAAAATCAATTTTTGCTCTCCCTGATTTATCCTTTGCCCACTTGGCCCCTTCCTCAGGGACCAGGGGTGAGTGTGATTCCATTCTGGCCTTGGCAGATTTATGGTGTGTGGCTGTTTTTAAATCCAATGTACACCTGCAAAATGAAAAAGAGAAAAAAGAAGTGTGTTTGAAAATTTAGTGAATAAAACCATGAAAACATGCCTAAAGTGAAAAAAAAAAAAATTAACTTGAATGCGTTTTGTTTCTGCCTCTTCCCTAAAAAATCACGTAGGAAGGTGTTCTCTGTTCAGCAACAGTAACCACAGCTTCTGGAGTCAGAATGAAAATAGCAGTCTCTGACAAATTTGGTTTATTTTTTTTATTTCTATCAAAAAAGAAGTGCCCTTTGTGCACTATCAGTGTTTTAAATGGCTTCCTAATTTTATCTTAACTCTGCATGACACTGTAGAACCCATTAAAAAGTCTGACGCACATCTGTATTTCTTTTTTCTCTGTGCTGTTATTCAGATCCCTCAGTGTATTTTTAAACAGTGAAAAGATGTAAGCTTATTTCTAAAATGACAACAAAATACAGGGAATTGTGCCTTTCATCTTTAACTTTCCCGTGACAGCTGGTTTTCAATGTGACTTTTGTGCAATACAGTGTATTGTATGTTTTTGTTCTGGAGTCTTGTGATTTGCAGCAACAACTTACTTTTTCCTACACAAATGTCTACAAGAAATTATTCAGAGGCTACAGAAGAGCTCTGTAAAGAGCCGCACTTCCCTCTGGTTGTTGGATGCCCAAGTTGTGGATTTGGTGGATTCAGTCTCAGCCAAAGTTGCTTTCAGAAGTAAAAAGATTTCTTTTTGACAATCAGTTAAACAATCAAAATATTTTTGTTATTAATACCTAATAGTGTTTGCTGCATTTCTTAAAAGCAGCAGGACTTTCTGGTGTGGTCCACGTACCAGTTTCAGTGTTAGCAAAGCTCCAAAAGGAGGGGTTTATGCCCCATCAGCTTTGTGGTGTGTTGGCTGACTGTCGCAGGCCGCTGCTCCAGAGGCCACACGCAGTGGCCATGGCCGTGTCCCCGTTCAAGGGGTGGCCTCAGGCCCATGTGACACCACTTGGAGCATGGCATCATCTCTGGGGGTCCTGGTGTGGGCACCAGGCAGCCCCAGGAGCCAGCTGATGGAAAAGCACACAGGAAGGCTGTCTTAGTGTGAAATCAGTGGATTTTTTGGAAGCAGCCTGTGCTGTAACTGTGTTCACATGGGCTGGTCGGCCGTGCACATGAAAGTGTGCCATCCATTGCCTCAGCGAGGCTGGGGATAGAAGGGCTTCCAGAGGATGGTAGGAGCTGATGATCCTTGGTGTGCTGCCCAGGCTATGCCCGTCCCACACTGGCACAGAGCTCCCGCTCTCATCTCCGCTCCCCAGCACAGCCAGGCCCCTGGGGCTGGGCCTCGGTCCCTGTCAGAGGGAGAGATGGACAGACAGACGGACAGCGTGGTGCCAGGTCACAC